CCTTATCTAACTTATTAAAGTGCCATCTTGAAAAATCTCTCTTGAAAAATCAGGCACTTACTGGTAGACGCAATTTTTGCTGCCTTTACATTAGCTAAGCGTGCGAATTACCATAAATTGCAGTTGGAACGATAAGCTTTTATAATTTCTAAGCTTTCAATCGTAGCTCAAAAGGTCTTGTATTATTTGTTTCTGTAATCCGAAGGAGGCGAGCTACTTATTTTGTATGTACGTATGAGCTACAGAACTTTTATACCAATAAAATGTTTACGTCAGGTGATAGGTTATGATTGCTATACGACCCGAAAAAAGATAATTTTTTAATTTTTTGTCGTTTTTATTACAAAAAAATAGCTCGCCCCATTACATTTTATGTCTATTTCAATCCTGTAAAAGCGATTTTAATTCCGTTCAGTATTTTCGAAGTTATCGTTATTATAATAATTGATAATAATTATATTTATAATTGATTCTTAAGAGGATGCTGAAAGGTCGGGAATTACCGACAATTGCAGTTGGAACGATAACTTCGAAAATACTGAACGGAATTAAAATCGCTTTTACAGGGATTGAAATAGACATAAAATGTAATGGGGCGAGCTATTTTTTTGTAATAAAAACGACAAAAAATTAAAAAATTATCTTTTTTCGGGTCGTATAGCAATCATAACCTATCACCTGACGTAAACATTTTATTGGTATAAAAGTTCTGTAGCTCATACGTACATACAAAATAAGTAGCTCGCCTCCTTCGGATTACAGAAACAAATAATACAAGACCTTTTGAGCTACGATTGAAAGCTTAGAAATTAAAAGCTTATATCGTTCCAACTGCAATTTATGGTAATTCGCACGCTTAGCTAATGTAAAGGCAGCAAAAATTGCGTCTACCTGCAGTAAGTGTCTGATTTTTCAAGAGAGATTTTTCAAGATGGCACTTTAATAAGTTAGATAAGGACAATCCACGTATTTGAGTGAGATCAAAAGATATTGTAAGAAGTTTATTTAGAAATACCACTGACACTGAAGCGTCTGCTTTATCGACTTCGTACAAATTTGGCCGACCTTTTAGCATCCTCTTAATATTTAAGACTGTCTTAAACACAGTCTTAAAATGTTGTAAACTAATTATAACAGAGCCGTATTAGTATTTTAAAACATTACTTGTAAATATTAGCCAAGGATTAGGAACAAGGGAATGGAGGAGCGCGCGCCGACCCTGAGCGCCGCATGGACAAGAGCGATTATTTGTTAACTTTAACTAGCTCTTCTGCCAAAATTACTTGTCAGATCAAAATTTGCTAAAGAAAAAAGTTGTTCTTTTTAGTACAAAGTATCACGTTCTGTACTCCGAATGCGCCAATTATGTTTTATATGGCAATGTGTAATATTTAAGTATGGCGCCTCGTTCTGCGGCAATTGAGCTGCTTTCAATTCGTCGACAGCCACGAGAAGTCAGCAGACAACCAATCAGCTCGCGCCTCCCCGCGAGAGAGGAGGACGCCGATTGATCGGTGCCGCGCGACCCATGTCGCGCGGCACGCCGAGATTCGTGAATCGTGCGAATAATCCCGGCGTGAGTTTCCCATCTCAACGTCGAACGCCCGACGGCTTCCGCATCGAGGGGATGAGCTCTTCTCGGTTCGAATGATTTATTCGTTTGTTCCACGTATGAAGAACTGCGAAATACTCGGCGGCCGAGGCGTCGATAACGGGACCGAGCTACAATCGTCGCCGTACGTGAAGAGAAGGAGATCCCGCGCGCACCACGGAACGTCGCTGACGTAATATGTCCACGAGCGTTCTCCCGATACGTGAGCTGCGGCAGCGTTGAGCGCAACCCGGAGTCCGGGGGGGAAAGTTTCAAGCGCTCTACCGACGGACGAAGGGGACGAGTGACGGTTCGATTCGGCGCTGCGCATGGGCCAGTGACGTGATGTAAATAAAAACGCACGTAGAACGCGCGGAATCGACGGTAAGCCGACAGCTGTACGATCCCCGTGATATATATTCCCGTGGCTCGAGGCGCGCTATCGAGATAAGAAATTGCGTGATATATATATATACACACATATATATCGACGCGACAAACCGTTAGTCGCGCGCGCATATACACACATATATATAATATATTATATATATATCACACGAACGCAATCCGTGCGACGCGCGCGCGCGCGCGTGTGTGTGTGTGTGTGTGTGTGGACGCTCATACGGATCCGAGGCTCGCGAGAAGGAACCGAGGGATCTTCTTTTCCCTTTTTTTTCTCTTCAACGCGAGTGCGCGCGCGCACATACATACGTTTCCCGCGTCGTTTTCCTGGTGCGCGGCCCAGTCGTACCTCCCCCCTCCCCCGTCATCATTGGCGCGCGCGACGAGGATCAGAGCCAGCCAGGGAGCCAAGCGCCAGCGGCCAGCCTGCGCGTCCAGCTTGTGGTGGCGATCTTGGTCTTCGTGTTTTGTTTCTCGCGCGGACGAGCGTGTCGACAGTACGATGTTTCGAGCGTCGCGCGCTTCGTGAGAGAATCAAAGAATCTTCGCGGTGTCTGGCATCCTCGTGCATTCCCGACTGGACGCGGAGCCCGCGGAGGTGAGAAGAGGAGGGAAGAGGTGCGGAAGCGGAGAAGTAAATTGAGGTAGCGAGCGGGAAGCAGAGAATTCCCCTCCCCTCCCCCACCCCCCCAACGCCGCGACAATCTGAGACGGGTCCACAGGCGTGAGAGAGATACGGGAAGTACGGTCGGAGGACATCGAGGACATCCCCCTCCTACCCCCCTCCTCCCTCCCGTCTTGTAAATCGCGCGCGGACGGCATCGTCGCAGGATGGCATCGTCCACGGTGGCCGTTCCGTCCGGAGCCACCTCGGTGCCGACGGTGACGAACGGCAGCGGCGTGAGCGGCGGCGGTGGCAGCAGTGACAGCGGCAGCAGCAACGGCGGCATCGTCGTCGCCGCTGGCACCGAGGAGATCGACGGCGGCGACATATTCGGCGACCGGAGTAACGTCAATTCCGTCGGCGGCTACAACAACGGCGGCAATCCCGGCGATGCCCTGGAGGAGATGGCGTGCGGCAACGGGGAGGCCAGCAATCAGGGCTGCGCCCTCTGCATGAGCAAGCTGTGCTCGCCCCGGGTGCTCTCCTGCCTGCATGTCTTCTGCGAGGCCTGCCTGGACAAGCTGCTCATGGACGAGGCCGGGGACTCCAAGGTGGGCTCGGTTATAAGCTGCCCCGTATGCCATCAAGAGACTTCCGTTAGTTCTAAGGGCGCCGCGTCGCTTACGTGCGACTATGTTCTCACCAATATATTGGATATGTCCGCCATCGAGAGCATGGCAGTACTGTGTACCTCCTGCAAGGCCAAAGAGAGCGCTGTGGCGCGTTGCTCGGATTGCGCCAATTTCCTGTGCCCAAATTGCAACACGGCGCATCAATTCATGCGCTGCTTCGAGCATCACAAAGTAGTTGCCTTTGAAGATTTGAAGCAATCCAACGAAGCTATCCCAATACACAAGCCGATCTTTTGCGAATGTCATCCTGCTGAGAATATGAAGTTCTACTGTCATACGTGCCAGGTAAGTGGAAAGTGAACGATTTTCTGATCATTTTTTGATAATTACGTCGTTTGGTATTTCTTAACATATTTTAAGAAGTCACAAAAATCAAGCTTACCATTGCTACATTTATACATACACAAGATAATAATACCATTAATGCATTGTAATATAAATTACAGTAATAGCTTTTCACAATAATTTTGGAATACATAAAATTATACTCAATTCTATGTATATTACTTGAAGACTAAAAGGTTTTTTTTTTTTCGTACATGTAGAAAAAAGTTAACATCAATTTTATTTTTAATAAAACTAATTTGTATATATGTAATTATTTAAAACAAAAGTAATTATCTTTAAAAAGAGAAAATTTAATTTATCAGGTAAAAAGAATTTTTGATAAGAATGTTAAGTAAGATGTGTTTAATTGTGTGATCAGGAACCTATTTGCAATGAGTGTTTGCTTGTGGAACACAAAGCACCAGAACATCAATACGAACGACTGACAGATGCAGAACCACGACAGAAGGAAGAAATAATTAACCTGATGACTGAAAGTAAAGCAAAAATTGCTGAATGCGATCAGGTTACAATACAACTAGAAAATGCACTTAGTGAGCTGCAAGTACAACATGATCAAGCAAAAGATTTAATCACGGAGACTTTTCAAAGTTACAAGGCCATTTTAGAGAAATGTAAAGATAATGCGTTAACTGAGCTCGAGAAATTGCATTCAAATAGAGAACTGGAAATTATGGACGCTTTTCATAGGTATACATATTTAATTGTTTATTTAATCATTAATTGTTTATGTTATAAAAACGAAGATGATTTTAAAAAAAGAGAATACTAGAAAGTACATACAAATAGAACGTGATTTTTGGCATTTGTTGAAAATAAAACTGTTAATAAAAAGGCATTTATTCTTTTTATGAAAACACTTATGAACACATTCTGCTATGTTTGAAATTTTGTTGCAGTGTTGAAAAGACTGCAGAAAAAATAGAAGACGCTTGTCGTTTCACCTCGAGATTACTAGAACATGGCGATGCAGTGGAAATCTTGGCACTTCGGCGTATTGTAGGAGCGCAATTGATGAATTTAATAAAAAACACACCAAAACACAATGTAACATTCTCTATCGAATTTCAAACCGACTATAATCAGTTTGAGAAAACTATGAAGGTAAATATGCGTAATCAAATAATACATTTTTTATATAATTATATATCCTTTTATTTAGTTACATATAATGAGCTTGTTGTGTGGACAATTTTTTTTATTGCAGGAAGTATTTGGCAAATTTAATACTGAAAGTACGCTGGAGGTGAAAACTCATCTTGAACCAATCTCAACAGTATCGGGTGTCTCTACAAATCAGCAAATAGTTCATACCACCTCAATGGGTTGTCCAAGTTCCATCAGCACAAGCTCTCCCATTTCACTTCCCACATCTATGCAATCCTCCTTCGAAGGTGAACCTTCATTCATTATTCCACCGAACTCGAGTCCTCAAAATATCCCGCCTCCACCACCGCCCGTACCTCTTCCACCAGGGTCGGTTCCTATCCACGGATTGACTAGCATTCAAGAGTACAATCTACAACAGCTGGCCAGTTTAGCGGAGAAGGTAGAGATGGTGGGCGACACCGGTGTAGTTGGACCTAGCTCGAATCCTAGTCCAACTCCGTCCTTCACTTTGGCAGATTTATTTGCTGGAGACCTAAATTCTACGAGCCATGCCATTACTAATTTGCAAGCTCTTGCAAAATTAGGGAATACTCTTGGTAATCAAGGTAAGAAATATAACATTAAAGATTTTTAAACTTGCTCTAATAATATCAATATGTCCTTCCCTCTTATTTCTTCCAGACATAATCCCATACATTTCCCGATTTTCCCACAAATTCACAGGTATCTTAAGAACTATTGGTTCATGCTTTTAAGTTTTTTTTTATAGATATTTTACAATTTATAGCATTTTGATGCTGTATAATGTTTTATTTTTATTGTATACTGTCAATTATTTTTGTATGTTACTTTCATTAAAATTAGAAATCTTTGCGCGATTATATTACTTTGTTTTTAATAATACTTTAAAATATGTTTTGACAGGAGGTAATGCAAATTTGAATTAAAATGTATTCTTCAGAAAATTATAATTTAACAGATACATTAAACTGAATTGCAAATTTGATTTTCAAGCGCTAAATTCTTGATATTTGAATTTACGAGATGTAGAACAACTTTTGACGGATGCAAAATTAGAATCGGATTTAGTATCGCCTCTATTTTATTTTAAAGTGTAATTTGAAAGAAAATAATAATGCTCGTATTATAAATATAAGTATATGTAGTATTTATTTCCTGAAATATTGATATGATAGTGGAGAATTATCAATATCGAGACTATCGAAAAAATTATCGAAACTTTATGTATTATTTCTACTATCACTTCATTTATTGCTTCGATACAGATCTTGGAAATACTACTATTAACGGTAGTGGTGGCTTGGTATTGGGACGTGGACCTTCGCCAGCCATTGTGGACGCCCCAAATCTGGGTTCTTTGGCTGCCAATAGTCTATTAAATGGAGGATTTCAATCATTGTCCTCTTCTACTTCGCCGATACTTTCACAGGGTGCTGGTGAGATTATTTTTGTATTACACTATTATACTCGAGAGAAAAAAAATGCAAATTTTGCTTATCTTTAAAAATATATTAAAAAATTCCGTTCGATACAATAATAACACAAAAAATAATGGGCCAAAGATGAGCAAATAAAATTAATGGATGTTCAATAATTTATTTCTTCAAGCAATATATCGCGATACTAGTTTCAGCCTGACTAGGCCTTTTTCAATCGCATAGGATCTAAATTACAATCTACAATTAATAAATTAACACATATAAAATATAACGCACGCCATCGATAATTATAAAAACTGGACTGATACATATTCTTTGTCATGCGGGATTTTTCGACAGCGTTATTTTTATAATTATTGACGGCGTGCGTTATGTTTTATAATATGTTAATTTATTAATTGTAGATTGTAATTTAGATCCTATGCGATTGAAAAAGGCCTAGTCAGGCTGAAACTAGTATCGTGATATATTGCTTGAAGAAATAAATTATTGAACATCCATTAATTTTATTTGCTCGTCTTTGGCCCATTATTTTTTGCTTATCTTGTACACATTTTACAAAGTTATTATATTTTAAGCAAAAGAATCAAGAGAAAATAGTTTTTCTTAATGTTACACTGCATACGTTTATCAATATTGATGTTTTATTTTTAGATGACTTAATAGGTGATTCTATGCATAATATGCCTGTAGTAGTAGGAAATACTGTTGCCAATCACGTAACCGGATCAGGAACAGGGAATTATCCTGCTCATTCAAGAACCCAGAATACAAAATTAACGCCTATGCATATCCGAAGCAAGTTTGGACAATTAGGACCCAGTAAAGGGCAATTTAATTCGCCTCATGGATTCTGTCTGGGGACTGATGAGGATATTATCGTCGCAGACACAAATAATCATAGAATTCAGGTATATACTCCATTAATGATATATGCGCTAGCAATCGTACGTGATATTGATTATTTTATTATAGAAAAAGATTGTACATAATGTATAAGATTTCATATAAATCTGATGTATGTTGATTCTAGATTTTTGATAAGACTGGTACCTTCAAATTTCAATTCGGTGTTCCTGGTAAAGAAGAAGGGCAATTATGGTATCCTAGGAAAGTAGCCGTTATGAGAAATAACGGCAAATTTGTTGTATGCGATCGTGGAAATGAACGATCCCGAATGCAAATATTTACGAAGAATGGCCACTTTATAAAGAAGATCGCTATTCGTTACATCGATATCGTAGCTGGCCTAGCTGTTACCAGCCAAGGTCATATTGTGGCTGTTGACAGTGTGTCGCCAACTGTGTTCGTAATCAGTGATACAGGAGACCTTTTGAGGTGGTTTGATTGTAGTGACTATATGAGAGAACCGAGTGATATCGCTATCAGTGGTAAGTACGACTTTTTCCGTTCTTAGTATTCTACCACAATAAAATTATTATACTCGTCAATAACATGGACAGACTATAATTTATAATATTGATAATCAAATTATATATTAATAAATATACAATTAATAAGTATACGAATTTTATACAAATTTTTAGGCAAAGAATATTTTGTTTGCGACTTCAAAGGACATTGTGTTGTGGTGTTCAATGAAGAGGGTAAATTCCTGCGTCGCATTGGCTGTGAGAATGTAACAAACTTCCCGAACGGGATTGATATTAGCGATGCAGGAGATGTATTAATTGGAGATTCACATGGTAATCGTTTCCATGTAGCTGTCTTCTCCAGAGCCGGCTCTTTAATATCAGAGTTTGAATGTCCATATGTAAAGGTAGAGTATAGTTATATATTAATCTTAAATACATACACGTTATTTTATATAAATAAAGTATATGAATTTCGGAAATGTGAATTATCACTTTCCAATCATATAATAATAAATTATAAAAACCGAGACGTATATGGGATAATATCGCTAATAACAATCGGAACGTAAGATCCATCGATTATGAATTGATCACTCTTACACTGAGCCACGCGTCATTCCATATTCTTTATTTTTATTTTACATACATACGTTATCATTCATATGGATCTAATTGCCAGTAATAATAAACTGTTGTACTGGTCAAGATAAAACTCAATATTAAATTTTTATGAGATATTTTATATTCTATTTTATCTCGCTGAATCAATTTTTTTTACTGAAATTCTTATAAATATAATGAATTTTGCTTTTCTTATAAATATAATGAATAAATAATAATACTTTTAAATGTTGTACCTTACAGGTGTCTCGATGTTGTGGCTTGAAAATAACCTCGGAAGGATATATTGTAACACTGGCCAAAAACAACCACCATGTCCTTGTATTAAACACTCTTTATATATTGTGAAGTGGCATCAGACGAGTAAGTATGTTATAACTTCCTCCTGCAAGTGGAAACTTCTTTGGAAAACTGCTCTCAACGAAAGATGGAAAAGGCATGCCCAAGGCATTACGTTTGAATATTGGGCCTATCGAAGCAATAGAAACAAATGCAGCATGCAGCTTTAATAGTTGTAAAAATATAATGCGTCCCCGTTTTATGAAAGTAACAAATGTTGAAAACAAAAAAAAATGCAGAAAGGTAATGTACGTCTCCGACCAAACAGTATAATAGTAACTTAGCAATTTGCATTTTGGTAAACTGCCAAAGTAAATTAAATTAACTAAGTGGAACCAGTTATAAAGAGAGAGAAGCAGTAAGCTATATCAACCAGTAAGCAACCAACCAAGCCAGTTGGATCGCTTGTAGTAGAGAAAGCAATTTATAATGGCCTTCCGTCAAAATTGGTTGTTGTACATCATTTTTGACATGTCAGTATTTTAAGTATGTTTATAAATCAAATTATTCTAGTCTCCGACGAGCACTTTCTATACACTGGTTTCGATTTGTGCTCGGAACAAGACGTTCTCGTCCTGATTTTTTATTAATCAAGGATGTTTGTCTTCTTAGTCCTAACTGATGCTTCAAGATGCATATAAGTGCACAGATTACGTTTAAAAAGTTTTCCTTTAAGAGAGCTTCTAAGTAACTAGTTAAACTCGGCAAGGATAAATTTCACGACGAGAGGATCAAAAATTTTCGCTTAAACTGAAAAAAAAAGATAAAAAAAAAGAACGTTGCATGCTGCGAGGTAGTTGGTAGTACTTCCTGCTCTTATCATATCGTATTTCTAAAGAAGAGAATGAAACAATACTCCTCATTGCAGCAGGCACGAAGCTTAACAAGAGCTATGTTCCTGATTTTCTTTCTGCGCGTTTGAAAATGATAGTTGAGAACATAATATAAAAACAACGTTAATGTGCAAGGAATAGATTATGGTATGTTGAAAATCAAACATTTAATATCTTATATAAAAAGTGTCGTACAGAAAAAGATACTTTGAGCGTAAAAAAAAAGGTGAAATAATTATTTACACTTACGAGACAAACGAGTAGATCCCATTTGTGCATTGTTAAAATTAGACGAGACACATAATGGTTACAATATTTACTCAGGATGCTTTATTATGGTCCACCATATGAATATGATATATATGCGTGTGTGAATTATTGGTTCGTGGTGCTAGTGAATAATGTATCCATACCATGTAAATGTATTTGTTATAAAATTACAGAAATCGTTCCCGCGCATTTTTTACAATGCAGGGGAGCGATTTCGTGTAATATATTATATAAGATTCGTAAGTACATAATATATACCACCGGTATATCATATAGGGACGATACTTTATCTATGTATAAAAAAAAGGGAAAATAACGTACAGTTTGCTAAACAACCTCTATTTATGTATATATTAACATGATACATGAAAAAGATGAAAACCACATAAGACACATACATATATAGAAATACACATATTTTTTAGGGTTGTTTACATGATCAGCCTTAAGATTTGATTGAACTAAAATGCAATGTGTATACAACATATACATCGGATATTTGGCAGATTGCTACACTGTGTTACCTTACATTATCTACAATAACGTTTAATTAACAAATACTATCTTGCCATACCAAATGCTAGGTAGCACATCCATATATACATATATAATATATATAAATATAAATATATATATATGTATATGTATATATATATTTATACTTGACTAGCTTTATCAAATTCGTTTGCATACAAGAAATTATATCGATAATGTCTGGTTTCATTACTCGTGTGAAAGCAAGTGAAAAACAAAAATTTAGACGAACGAGAAACACAAAAAAAAAGGACAGTACTAGGAGGCTATTTTAAAGTTCGCGCGTAACATCGGCATTTGTAGTAAATTGCACGAAGCCTACATACATACACCTAAGCTAATCAGTCGTACTCATCTCTCGTATAATGTTAGAAGTTTTAATTTTATATATAAAAAGGAAAAAAAGAAAAGAAAAACTAATTCTGAAATATTTAATAGTCATGGTTAGCAGAGTTATATAAATAATGCCTGTGATAATAGTATCGTCAGGATAAGTTGTGTCCTTAAAGAGTCTCTGATGTTGTTGCTAGGTAAATATTGATTAGAAGTGTATCAATGTGAGATACCGCGTTGGTGCCGCGCCTGCAAGGTGTTTTTACAAGCACAATAACGCCTGGTGCAGAGCGGGCCATCAATCGTCTCTGATGATACGCGTTAAATATATTTAAAAAAAAAAAGAAGATATTCAAAATAAAGAGAGAACATGTTGCAAAATTTTTGCCAGTCATATTAAAAGAAAAAAAACTCATAGTGTAACGAATGAATGACCATTAACGAGAGGGTCTTTTACCTCACAAAATTATTATATTACGCTCACCTTATATATACTTGAATATTTTAGTATAGATTTACTCTTTACATATTTTTATCTCTGTGGAAGACTACTTGGCTAATTTAGGCCACTGTTGAAATTCACCCCTTATTTGCCTTGATGTTTAAATTACAACAATAATATATAAAAAAAAGAACGAGAATTACTTGTTACGTAAATGGTAATTGTGATAGATTTTTTGATGATTTTTACAATCTCAAAAGTCTTATTATCCTAATATGTATAGAATTATATAGTCACTCTGTACGTAATAGATAAAAACTTTGCTTACATTGTTAAACTAATATTAAAAAGCTCTCATAACTATCCACACTAAACAGTTTTACAACTGACAGTGTAAATCGAAGATCGTATTTCGAGCATGGGATAGGTTCTGTGTGTATTACTTTTAGCAGTACTATTTTTATTGCTATACAACTTCCAAGGCCTTTTTGGGTGCCACAGGTTCTCCGACATAATTTCGAACAGAATTATTTGAATTTACATACATATTATTACGGTCGAATCTTCGATTTTGCGTTTGCCGTGAAGTTAAAAATTACGATTTTCCATTTCCTTCTGATAATTGTAGAGTTGTCACCTGATTTTATTTTATAAAATCGGAGTTATCGCGTGATTATCTTTTCGTTTTCCGGTGCAAAATTGCTCTCGAAACCGTTTTTTTTCTTTTCCACAAGCTTTACAATACTTGGCAACACGAGGAAGACAATTGGGAAGCGCCTCGGACCGTTCCGTTTCTAATTTCGCGTGAATTTTAAGAGACATAATATTTGTCAATCGTAAAATATGTCGTGTATCCGATGAGGAGTCGTTGCTATATATCACACACACGAATATGTTCCTGATTTTCAAAAGAGGAAGAAGAAAAAAAAAAGAAAAGAGTCGCATATATTATACAATAAGAATTTACTGCGAATGTTCACGAGCATTAACGAGACAGCTACAATTATATAAATAATAGGACTAACATGACACACGACATAAACTGAATTCTAGCCTACGGTTAATCATAGTCTTCCTAGAATCCTAAAGAAAAAAAAAAGAGTATGACTTTGCTATATTGATTAGGGCATGGCCAATTAACATTATATAGCTGGGTTACGAATGGAGAAAAAAAAAAGCGTTAAACGAAAAGATTTATCTTGCGAATTGCGCTTTTGTAATTCAACAGCTCCACATCATTTTACTGGACATGGCTTATACACTGAAGGATCCGTGAATTAATTCTTACTTTCTCATGCCTTCAGCATAATTTGAACTTATACAAGAGAGGAAGAGAGAGAGGGTAACAATCTATATATGATCAAAAAGGAAAGGGGAAAGAAAAAGCCGTAAGCTCATTATGTGTAAGCGTTCCGCGTTATTTTTGTAACAATATTTTTATTCCTTACTCGCTCGTATACATCGTCTTATATATACATATATATAATTTTTACCTTTACGCAAGCATTATGTGTTCGATTGGCTGTTTCCGACGCTATTATAGCGTACTTATTTGGATAACATTAGATCATTTTTTTCCGCGGCTAGAGATATGGCCGGGGAATACGTGGTACGAGCTTGCTATACATATTTTGATCTTTATTACGTTTTTTTTTTATTCGAGCAATCCGCGAAAACGGAATTGCTCTCAAACGTATTTATATTATTATTTATATATTGTTTTGTTTAATTGGTTTTACGAATTTCTCGTCACAGTTGCATCTTATTCGAAGGGATAAGAGAAAAAAAACGTTATCAGTCGGTTTCTATTATACAATTAATTTCATTTTAATTGTGTTCTTTTCAGATACACACATACACACACGTTTATTGTCTTCGCTTTAATTTTTACGTTTTTGTTGCCAATATATATATATTTTTTTCCTTTGTTTCAAATACTCAATCTGAGGTGGGATGACAAGGAATTCTATACAGCTTGTCATACTACCTCTCGTGGGGAAAAGGCAGAAAAAAAGCGATTAGTTCGTAACGAGTATTGATGTTGATTCTACCTTTAACGATTTAACCTTTACTGCATTCCAAATCGATCATTTTATCTGTCACCTCGTATGGGATAGAGAAAATTAAATTCTTTAGTGCCAAAACAGACTAATCAGAGTATTTATATAACATGTATGTAATATTATTGCTTACGATTTGTTTTATTCCTTATAAGTTTATTTTATTCGTCTCTTTTTTTCTTTTTAAGTTCGCGTCGCGCGCGGGTGTCGAAGTTCTTAGAGTAAGAAGACAAAAAAATTACGATTAAATCCTTGCTTAGTCAGTTAAAGTACAAATATTTAATATATATATATATATATATATATAAATATATATATTCTATCTTTAGGGAGTAAGTAACGCGAAAAAGGCATGTTAATGGCGTATATACTGTTACTTGGTTCCATTCCTCAACAGCACTAGCTTTATTTATTTTGCATTAGTTTACTCGATGTAATACTTAACAGGCTGAGAGAAAGGGTAAAAAGGAAAACGCTTTCGCCGTCGCCCTATATACACGTGTAATATTTATTTTTGGATATTACCACACACGTTCCTTTTTGGAGGTACTTTGTTTACATATCAAATTGACCACTAAAAAAAAAAAAAAAAAAGAAACCGCGTTACAATACAGTTGCATTCCAAAATACCCGGTATGCTGAAGAGCGAGTCAACCTGTCGAGTAGCAGCATACCCTCGAATATATCCGTTCGGTGATCTCCGTGTTTCCACTTACTTTTAAGTAGTGATCGCGAGGCTGACTGAGAGAAACTCTTTACGGTAAAGCGACATTTGGATCCGTAAAGCTTCTTACACAGCTCATAAACAGCTCATTTGCAAGCTTGCGCGATCGCATAGATCGAAAAAATTAAGCGTCTCTATCTCGTCTACATCGAGCGGGTTGTGCTTTACCGAAAGTTAAAGCCTGGGGCTCCGTCACGTTTCTCTACGCAAAATTAGCTCTAGTGTCGTTTCTCTCGAATCTATCTAAATAACACGTTAAATAACATGTACTATGTATATCTGAAAATGAACTTTCTGAACGATTCTGAACCTATGTTGTACACATTACAAATATCGTAACTGCTGTCCTGTGAATCGATAATGCGGATTACTGTGTGTAAACCATGTTTTCCTGAGACCTCCATTGGTATTTTGCATAGAACGAGCTCTATTTCTGGGGAATAAAAGAAAAAAAAGGAAAAGATCTTAATGAATGTTCCGACATCACTTACACTTCAAAATGTAAACTGTATAAGAATAGTACAACTGACGAAGAAAAAAAAAAGAAGGTAAATTGTAATGCAATATGGAAAGCGTGTATACCAATATATTTTTTATATGCTAATGGGATGCCAAGGAGCATGGTCATCTTGTAATGTAACGTATTATTTAGAGTTATACACGTCCAGAGATCGACTGTGTACACAAATCAGTTCCCTTTGAGACTACTCAGCCTTTGTATTAAAAAACACTCCCGCCCATCGCCCTCCCCTCTATTCCCCTCCCCCCCCTGCCCCCTTTATCGGATTACTTGAATTTCGAAGTATTTCAAATACGTATCTATATATCTCTCTTAGTTTACGAGTTTTACGATTTTTAATCTTCCAAAGTTTGTCAAGACTAGTCCCCGAAATATCTGTAACACAGATCTAAACTCTCTTCTATTATTTTTTTTTTCTTTTTATTTACTGCAAATCAGCTTTTTTTCTATCTTGTACCAAATTTTAGTTTCGTTTTTATATAAAAATATTCAAATTTATGGTATTATACGTATACACATCTATATACACTTTTACAAAAAAGAAAAAAAATATTTTAATCTACATACTGTATTACATAATTAAAGATACGGAACATTTGCTACTTATATATTTGTCAAATGTATTATATTGAAAATATTTTATTATAGGATGGACAAATTTAGCCTTAAATGAAAAAGAAAAGGAAATAAATGTTCTTTGTTGATCGTACATTGCTTCATCATATCAACTCAATTTGCCATTACCTGTCAATTCATATGTACTGTCCTATACTAAGATATTCTCAAATGATATCACTATGCAGTTATATTTGAAACGTGTAGAGGTATACATTCTTGTCTGCGCATAGGCTGCAATGCAATAATAATATATTGTGATGCTCACAAAGCACATAACACATTTTACCAAAATTGTAATGTTTAAATATTTCATGTGATTTTGGAAACTGTTATATATTTTTTATTTCCTGCCAATTGTTTAATTTGTAATGTTGTTCTTTGTTCTTTTTCAATAAAGTAATCAACTGAATATCAAATTCTTTTTATTCTCTGTTAATCACCTCGGACGCGACATTTCATTTGTGCGAAAAACGACTTGGATTTTTTAACTCGGAGTTTTTTTATACGATATTCTCACATATTTATATTTGCATATATTTTATGTAATTTTTAGCAATTGTTACTGATATTTACCTAATACAAGCGATAGTTTGGTGCGGGCCTAACGACAGAGGAAAATTTTCGACTCGAATATCTTTATTCGGAAAGATACATTTATATATATACATATACAGATCGTCCTGTATTTTGGAGATATATAACATATTATTCGGAGTCTGAGTCCTCTCTGCCGTACTGCTGTTTCGATAACTCGTTCTGCAGCTCGAGAACGTGTTCTATCGGTTCTGGCTTCCCATCGTCGCCGATGCGGCAAGGACGCACGACTCCCTCTCTAAGCAACGATGTTATCTCGATATATTTTTTTATACATAGGAAAATATATATATTATCATTATGGCATTTGCAGCTAGTAATATATTGCTAGTTTACATAATGATGTTATCTATATATATATATATATATCTATATATATATACACGACAGCTTTCATTTAGCATTAGATCTCGATATGATTGTGTATCTTTACGCATATCTTTGATCTGTGACGAATAAATAAAGTCTCAATATACACTATACTCACCTCGTTAATTTATCAACCAGATTTATTAATTTTAAAGCTTCATATTCCTTTTGCTCCTCCGTCATGCCTTCAAGCGGATCTGGCTTGGGATGCTCGAAACATCCGGTTACCGGGTTTATCCTTGAAATATAAAAAAAATCCGTTTATTTGAAAGATCTTTCTCATTCCATTCTTAGAGGATATAGCTATTTCTCGCCGATTACTTACTGTTCTTTATATTTCTGATATTCTTCCGTTTCGCTGTCTTCCGATTCAGAAGAATAAGCTGTTTCCACCTGGCTACGCCCTAATAATCCTTTGGTGGCAAACATTCCCGCCGCATTTCCGTATCCAGTATATTTCACCATACGGCTAACTGTAAATATAATATTGACAATGTCAAACTATTAGTTTTATAGATAAAATCGAACTACTTAAAATATTTTAATACGGCAGATAAATACCATTTTCTTTACAAAGAACAAACAAAAGTTCTGCAACTAGATCGCGCAATTCCGTGATAGGCGATGTTAGTAATTTGCACAACTTAGCTCTTAATGTGGTCCCCTCTTCAGGGCGATTCATGACATCCTTTAATGGAGGTAGAATCTAAAAAATTATTCATATGAGAACTTTTTATTATTTTTTGGGGCAATTTTTTTAGAAAATTAAGAACTATTCAAATTTTTTTTCTTTAGGGGCCCTGCCTATTCACCGCGGCCATATTAGACTCGTGACCTCAGAAGCGAGAAACAACGAGAAATGAAACATAAAAGTTTCTTGAGTGCCATTTTTAAATAAAAAGGATTTGGATAAAATTAATAAATAGTATCGCTTTAGAAAACTTGTAAAAATGGGTATAAACTATCCTTTTCCCCCTTGAAAGTCAGTAAAAAGTCGTAAAAGGCAGGTAAAGTGAAGCTTATTCAGGAAAGAAAACTCACGACAGCTGTTGAAAGGAATGAAAAAGATACTTTTACATATAAAATTCGATAATAACTATAGTTTACACCCATTTTTTCGACTTTCATAAATACGAGACAAGTCACATTTTCACAATTAAGCACATAATGTGATATTGTTAACGCGGCGTGTACGAGTCACATTTTATACTTTAAGCACATAATAACGAAATGACACGCAAGACAAAATTTCGTCGTCAACACTTTTCATGGTAAATCCGTTATTCTCTTCAAATCGTGTATTCTCTTCACATTCGATTGTAATTGATAATTTTTACTGCTTACGACATAGGCGTATAACATATATTTTGTAAAATTATGGTTTATGACTTAACACACCGACATATAACATATTATAGAACGAGCCTAATATGAAAAGAAAGCAAAGAAGCTTCTAATTTCTACCGCGATATAGCGTCACCACCGTCAACGCAGAGTTCGTGGCTGACTAGGCAGGGGCCTTAAGTTGGAATAAGTTTTTCACGAACAATTTTAATTATTATACTATGAAAATAATTACTTCTTATAATTTTATTACAAGACTTTACCTGCAATCTTACGTATTTACGAATAATCCTCTCTGATTTGACAAGTCTGACCAGCGCAGTAAGTATTGGAGAAAAGTTTTCTAGTAAATGTGTTTTACAATCTAATCTTTTATCTAAAAATCTAACTAAAACGCATATGGCGCTCATATTCATATTTTGGTATACATTTTTGCGATCCATGCGGTCAACGGCTTGTATAATTGGTGTATAACAGCTATATGGTATCACGGTCAACAGATTGATGACATGACTGAAACGAGATGATACACGTAACGTTTCTTCTAAAAAGTGACAATTAGATATCGCAAATTATTAGATATCTCACCTTTCAAGATCATCTTGTTGCACTGAGTATTTAAGAGTTAACAATTTATACAAGATTAACATTAAGTTCTTATATTTCTCTCTGTCCTCAACTCCGACATCATCCGAGTGTATATATAAATTAAATAGAACTTTCAAAACTTCACAGACTATCGTTATCTCCTCACTCTAAAAGTGATTAAGAGAAAATTTAAATTATTTTTCGATCAATACAAAAATACATATATTATATAAGGTGAGTAAAACATTAATAAACGATCTATTGAATCTTTTACCTCAATTATAGTTATTTCCTTATTCTGATTTCGTGTTACAAATTCCTCTATTATTTTAATGAGACACACATCACCGCACAAATCCGTTTTGACTATGTCTCTCGTGGATGTATTCAGTGCAGTGAGTAAAAACAGTAATCTCATATCAAATAGTTTGACATCGTGAGAAACATCATTCGTATAATTTTTAATCCGATCGATGAGATAAGGCAAAGAAGATATTAATATTTTCGACTGTTGCACTTTTACGCTATTAAATAATAAGTTGCACAGCAATTTCAGCGATTCTATTGTAACTGCAAGAAAAGAAAACAATCATATAATATATGTATACACAGAAGGTAAGTGCATCGAGATTCTTTCACAGATTTTATATTAAATTTTTAATATTAGTTCATTAAATAAATTATATATCTATCCAAAATTTATTAATAATAATTATTTTCTAGCCAACATTTATATTTATATGGGTGTATAAAAAATGTATTTAAAAAGTCATTCTTACCGATTGTACACGTGATCTGTTCTCCTTCGCATATTTTTGTCAAGCCTGCATTTTGTAATACAATTTTTATTACATCGTCAGTAATCAAGTCGTTTAAGTTAGTTTTGTCGCGGCTAAAAAAGAATATATGAATATAGCGTATACACACAAATATATTGTAAATGTATATATGCGTAAAATAATAAATGAGTAGGAAATAAATACATAACATTTTAATTATATATTTTGTTTAGTACCAGAATACTAAGTGATTATTCTTTAATGATTATGTAATCGTTAAATTTTGTGATAAATTTCAATAAATTATTGCTTTCATTATTGTGAAATATTCCCAGTAAACGAGAATGTGGATTGAAACAAATTGAAAAAAAATTTATTTCAACGTTCACAAATGCGTATTTTTGAAAATCTGAATCCATTTCAATGCCAAATGCCTTTGTATTCATTTATAGGGATCACATGAAGCACATTTTCTATGTCATTCGATCCAAAAAAAGTTCAGCTTTAAAAAGTAAATCGTGAATATTGGTTAATTCAAAATTCTAAATAAGTAATGCAACTTTTTCAATCCAATTAAATTTAAAAAAATATGATTTATAATAAAATAGTTTTTCGTGAAAATAAACCATGAACATTATTCAATTAAAAATTGTGACTAGAAAATGCATTGTTTCAATCCATCTTATCCAAAAAATATTATATTAATGTTATATTTAAAACATTGTATTATATTCGTATTATAAAATAGAACATTCATTTCCAATCCATTTCAATCCGTGAATTAAAAATTTTAATCCATTTTAATCCTTTCCCGTTTACTGGATTGCATTTTGTTACAATTATTTCACGAGATACATAAATTACCTTAGTATCCTCAAAGCAGCCAAGCAATGATGATGTTGGTCTGTACGAACATAATCTGTTAAGTAATAAAATAATTTCTTCCATAGCTTCTCTCGTAAACAGGTACTATCCAGCTCTTCAAAACTGGTCTTTTTATCATACTAAAATATTGATTGCACAATATGTATAAGTTGTTCGAATTAGTTTCTAAAAGTACCTATATATAATCACAGAAGAGGAATATTCTTCTAAATATATAAATCAATTAAAATGTTAAAAAATTGATTAACAACGGTAATTATTTTATTAAAAATTTACATTTACTTAATAATTTAGTGTACAGAATTGTGAAATAAGCAAGTAAACATAAAATGATTTGAAACTAATAATTTAATGTCAAATATAAAATAAAATTTTTTAAACTGTAAGCTTTATAGACATTTATCTTAACGGGAAAAATATTTTACGTTTGTTGACAAACAATGAGTCATTTCAAAGTGTGTACTTACAACTTTTAGAAACACAACAATATTTTTACAGAATTCTTCGTAAGTACCGGAGATCAATTTCGGAATCAATCTGTCCATATTAGCCTCCTCCATGTCGACTTTAGTTCAGTAGCGAACACCCTTCAAATAGTATTGTATATTTTATTTCATAATGTTAGGCGTTAGACAGTAAATTCATCCGAATCTATACCGGAGCTCTGCGTATAGTTTGACAGCTGATCCTTTTTTTTTTTAATGCTTTTAACTCCCATTGGACGAGCAAGGAACACGGGTTAACAAGACGGCACTCACGCTATTTACATCGCCACGCGTCTATTCTGCCGTGAAGCCAAACGGATTTTCGACGGGTTTCGAGACGCAGGTTTAGAAGAAAGTTTTCAGCCAGAGAGAAGCGTGAGAGCGGCCACGTCGACTTTTTGGGTGGGACCGGCGATCTCCCTCATGGACCTAAGCAGAGAGAACACTGAAATATAATAATACAGGAACGCGCACTGGCGCTAATTGCGCGATCCGACAAAGAGGCTTCCAAGTGGTATCTGTGTCTCTTTCTAGTACAATCTGGTCAAAAGTTTTATACGACCTTTGAGTATATAGACATGGAGGGGGAATGTTGGCTCGAAAACAGTGTCCAAGATGTGTGCGAGAGAGAAAGATAGACGAGTAATGTTCGTCCTCTCTGCGCATGCGTCGATCATTTAACAGACAGAGAGGACGAAGTATCACGTGGTATCGCTCGTATACCTTTCTCTCTCGCACTCCTTGCCACTCTTGGACTCGCTTGCG